GAGCCTGTGCTCCGCAACGGGAGAGGCCACAACAGTGAGAGGCCCGGGTACGACACAAAAAAAAAAAAAAAAAAAAAAAAAAATATCTCCAGACAATGCCAAATGCCCCCGGGAGGAAAAATCTTCCTGCCTTCATTCTGGTTGAGAACTGTTGGCCTAGGTCATCCTTGGTAGACTCTCCAACAAGTCTCAGACATATGCTTAGGAAGATAGCAGAACCCACAATTAACCGCTTTATTTCTCAGTAAGAAGTCACAGCCAACCACCAGGATGGCTTTTTTTGAATCATTACACATAGGTGGTGAAGGAAGGAGGAAGGAAAGCTACAATATCCTGTGCATGTCTATATCTTAGAACTCATATCATATTAAAGTGATCCATTTAATATCTATTACTTGCATTTATCACCGGACCACATGATTCTTAAGGACAAAAAATGAGTCTTATGAGTTTAACTCATTTTCCATTGTAGTATGATGGTTAAGATCATGGGCTCTGGGGACTTCCCTGGTGGTGCAATGGTTAGGAATCCGCCTGCCAATGCAGGGGACACGGGTTCGAGCCCTGGTCCAGGAAGATCCCACATGCCGTGGAGCAACTAAGCCCGTGAGCCACAACTACTGAGCCTGTGCTCTAGAGCCCATGAGCCACAACTACTGAGCCTGCGTGCCACAACTACTGAAGCCCATGTGCCTAGAGCCCGTGCTCCACAACAAGAGAAGCCACTGAAATGAGAATCCTGTACATTGCAACAAAGAGTAGCCCCAGCTCACCACAACTAGAGAAAGCCTGCGTGAAGCAACAAAGACCCAATACAGCCAAAACTAAAGAAAGAAAAAAAAAAAAGAAAGAAAGAAAGAAAGAAAGAAAGAAAGAAAAGAAAAACAAAAGATCATGGGTTCTGGAATTAGACTATGCAAATCCTGGCCCACTTATTAGCTGTATAACCTTGAGCATTTTACTTAACATCTCTGCCTTTGTTTTAGTATTTATCTTACAGAGTTTGTGAAGGTGAAGTTCATGTGTCAAGTTTACTGAGTTAAAGGATGCCCAGACAGCTGGTAAAACACTATTTCTGGATCATCTATAAGGGTTTTTCTGGAAGAGATTAGCATTTGAATCAGTAGACTGAGTAAGAAGATCACCCTCACCAATGTGTGTGAGCATCATCCAATCTACTGAGGGCCAGAATAGGACAAAAAGGCAGAAAAAAAGGCAAATTTGCCTTCTACCTTGAGCTGGGATATCCATCTTCTCCTACCCTTGGACATCAGTGCTCCTGGTCCTTGGACCTTAGGACTTGGACTAGCAATTAGACCATTGGCTCCCCTGAAGCCTCTTTGTGGAAGGATGAATGAAGATGAGTCCACTGAGAATGAAGAACACAGAGCATATAGACTCAAATCATGAGTCTATATATTCTCAGGCCTGTGGATTTGTACTGGAACTACACCTGCAGCTTTCCTGGCCTCCATCTTGCAGGTGGCAGATCATGGGACTTCTCCAAAGAAGTACATAATATGGGTTATGCTTCCATAACTGCATGGGCCTCATAATAAATCTCTTTCTATATATTTATATATATACTATTGGTTCTTTTTCCTCTAAAGAACCCTGACCCAGAGTTACACAAATAAATCTTAGAATACAATTAAATTTATACAAATAATCAATACACATAAAGTACTTAGACTAATACTTGGAAGATTAGTAAGTATTCAATAAATGTCATGTATTGTTTTATTATTATTACCTATGTTAATTTTGTATCCATAACGTCTAGTACTATGCATTAAGTACTGAGATGTTTAAAAACTGCCTGTTGAACTTACTTTATTGTACCAAAACAGTGGTAAAATAAGGACTAGACTAATGATATATTTTTTAGGAATGAATGCCTCTATGTGAATCTGGAAGAGTGAAGAATGTTGAAGTAGGGGACAAAAATCCAAAAACCTGTAGCAGCTCCTGAAGAAACTTTCACTTGTAGGCTAGGTCTAAAAGTAAAAGACATCAGCATGCACAAAAGAAAAACAAAACCAGGTCTTTGGCTAGGACATGTGATGATAAGAAAGAGGCCCCGGCACCATGGTAGGACCAGAAAACTTACCTGAAGCTTCCTTGGGGAAGGAGGAATGAAGATGAACCCAATGAGGAATGAAGAATAGAGCATATAGACTCAAGTCATGATCCAGACCCAGTTATAATACACATCATTTCTCCTTGTGAGAATGCAGTCTTCTTTATAACAATGAGATCTTTTTGTCCAGGGTATCCCCAACATGCTCAAAAAAACTTCAAACTAAAGTGTGAGGGGGAGGGAGAAACTATAACAGACACATAGTCACTAAGATTGTGAGCTTCTCAAAGGCAAAGACCATGTCTTACTCAATTTTGAATCCCCACAATACTTGGCTCACATTTGTTGTTTAGTATAGAATGAAAGAATGAATGAATGAATGGCAGGGACAAAAATGCATACATAAGTGTTCCCAGTTGTCTTCTCATGACCTCCTACTAGTCACATTTTTCTTATTTTTACTCCCACTTAGCTTTTTTTTTTTTTTTTTTTTTTTTTTTTTTTTTTTT